CCAACCCAGGTTTTATGTTGGGTTAACTACCTTGAGGAGTATCACAACTGAGATGTTCTATTTCGATCAGCTAGTGGATTAAAAGACCAGAACGAAACTTGTTCTTATAACAATAGTCTTAATGGACCACTATACAGTGATGTCCACTGTACCTACATATCAGAGGAGGCCTCCGAGGCATCCACATTAACGTATGGACGTCTGCCTGTATTGCTGCCTGCCACCACCGTGCTAAGCCTCAGTGGTGCATACATGCAGTTGGCAGCGCTGTCGTTACGGTTGCTGGGTGAAATGTTGGTGTAATCAGGTCTTCGGACTTGCGGGCCATCCACTTGGTGTTCAAGGTTATTATTTTCCCTGCGATTTAGGCTCATGTAAGGTCCGTTTGACCCAGTCCAGGTCTGGATGACGTCGTAAGGGAAAACCTCGTCGTTGTCACGCGTAGCATTCTCCGTGCGTGACACAGGTCCTGGTGAGTCAACGTCTTCGATGGTCACCATTTCGGTGGAGGTAATGCTCTGCGTTGTCATTTTTCTGGGCTTGCTTATCTTGAGTATCCGTTTTCCTATGCTGCTGAGCGCAACACTTACAACGAAACAGATTGCGAGGAGAACGGACAAAACAGCAATGATCCAAACCAGGGATGCTGAGCTGGATTTGGTTACCTGGTTCTGGACTGTTTCGAGGAGACAAGAGAAAACAATCTGTGTCAGTGGAATCGAAGTTGTGTTTGCGAGAAGCAGAATAAAATTGTCATAATTATGTTTAGCTTCATGCAGTAACTGTGAGGCTGGCCACTGTACATACAAACACAAAGACATCACTTTAAATTCCAGCCAGTCCCAGGTCTTCGGTTTTGGGGGAGCAGAGAAGTAGAGGGAGCAGGGAAAGCAGGAGTAGCAGGGGAGCAGGGGAAGGAGAGGAAGCAGGGGAAGCAGGGGGAGCAGAGAGAGCGAGGGAGCAGGGGGATAGGGCAGTAGGAGAGCAGAGGAGCAGGGGAAGCAGGAAGAGCAGGGGGGGCAGGGGCAGCAGGGGGAGCAGGGAATCAGGGGAAGCAGTGGGATCAGAGGGAGCAGCCAAGGTTCATGTGGCTTCCTCTCTAAATATGCAGGTGACTCATGGGATATTCCATGGCACCGTATACCACTGGAAAGCGTTCCGCAACTAGTATAGAACTAATGGTGCATTTGCCAATGACCTTGTCATAGAAGCTTTATAATGCGGTTTTTCAATTTTTGCAGAAACACCTTTCAAAGATCGGGGACTCAAAACAATTTTATCCCGACGTTTTCTTACCACACCAAAACCGCTTTACCTAGTTTAGACATCCAGCTTAGATAAATATAGCAAACAAACATGGACTCTCTTACCTGGTTCCGCTACAGGAGAAATGACAAGAGATTTTGAAGCACTGCCGGCCAGATTTGTCACGTGACATTCGTACTCGCCAACAGCTGTGTTCTCCTCCAAGGAAATTTTTACGGTGTCTGTTCCTTTGGCCAGCGGAGAGCTGTCTTTTCTCCATACGTACTCTGGTGGATGTCTGTTAACAGTGTCGCAAAGTAACAGAAGCTGTCGGGTATCTTTACCGTTGTCGTGTTGTCTCAGAAGAATTCCTTTCACATCACTAATCACAGGCTTCTCTAATAAATTAAAAGTGGCATTAACTGAATAACATATTTTATGTCAGTTAGGCATTCATGTTACGAAAGTATGGACTAGAAGCCCTTCTATTTAACTTGATAGAAACACAGAACATTTTGGAATTAATCGATAGATTTTACTTAATTGTCCTCTTATTGGTTTCTAAGGGAGGGAAAATCAATTATATTTTCTGTGTTCCTGTCGAGAAATAGAAGCACGCGAGGAACGTTTCGGAGAATTCTTGAATGTTGCGGAGAGAGTTTCTTGTATTTCCTGGGGATTTCTCGTACTCTCCCTGTCTAATTTTGTAACTCTAGAACTCGATAGAAATATGGAAAATGATTTGTATGCAAAACCAAGGTCGAAATGAACAAGAATTGACGAGGCCTAAACCTCGTCTGCCACCGCCAATTCCTACGCACCTCTTTAACTCTTGGGTGCTCTCATTCAATTTCAATCCGCACGAATTTTCATCGAGCCCGCCTGAATATTTACTGGTTTGAGGATTTGAATTGGGGTATATTTTCAGTTCGTTTCGACTATACGCTATTTCGACCGTTACTTGTAGTAATTTGCGCACTTACCAATCACAAGGACTTTCACTGATCCTCTAGGTCCATTGTCCACTGCGCAGTAATACATGCCCTCGTCTGCTGCAGTAGCAACGTCAATGGAATATGCTTGTCCACGTGCTAATGGAGTGGCGCTTTCGTCTTTGTACCACGTGATTTCTTGATGTGATTGACCACACTGCAGTGTTATAGAGTGGCCAGCAATTACTTTGGCGTTCTGCGTGGAAGTCACAATGATAGGAAGACCTGCAAGGCAAAATCCAAATTAAAAGTGATGGGAAACAGCCCCTCTTAGTGAATGGGTTCCAAGGAGGTTTCAAGGTTACTAGTAGCTTTCTAGTTCTGCTTCTGACTGCGGCAGTTACTTTTCGTGTCAACCTTCGGACAAAGCTTATAAACCTTTAGACTGTAGACTTATAGGGACTATCGAGTTGAAGGTTACTAACATGCTGCGAACTGGTTATATACTACTGTTGCTTCCAGTGATAGCCACTAACTGTATGTGGGTAGCGTTACTTCGTCAGCGTGAAATAGTTTGGTTCAAATCTTGAAGTGAAGAAATGAAAATGGGGTTAGGACTGCTTGTCTACACAAAGATTTAGATGAAGCTGTTCAAAACCTTGAGAAAACGAGATGCATGAACCAAAAATAAATCACAGTATTCGACAAATGGCCAATGCTAACTGGATGTCAAGGAGTGGTGTCTCCCTGGGAGGGCAGTGTGGTGGAGTGTGTGGGGGACGTAGGGGGGAGGGGGAAGTAAACGATCAAAATAATGCTTAACTCGTGCTGGCTAGCTACTCTGAGCTCTGCCAGCTTTTTCAACAACTGAGTATTGAATTAGCTCACACCGATTGTACAACCATCCGCGTAAACGACTTACCTCCCTTCCTGTTGATTGACACATATGACGAGCTCGACCCATTGCCTGCAGCATTCTCGGCTTGTACCCTCACTCTATATTCTACGTTTGGTTGCAGATGTGTCAGTAACAGAGATCGTTCCTTTGAAGAGGATTTCCGTGATACAACATTTCCATCTGAGGTCGACAGTTCCACGTGGTAGGCAATCACTGTATCGCCGGACGCTGGCATGCTCCATCCAACACGAATAGTGGTGGAATTTATATGCTCTATACTGACATCTTTGGGAACATCAGGTAACACTGTAAAGTGAATCAAGAAGATTTAATCAAATAAAGTAAATAAACTGCAAAGCCGTGAACAAAGATCCTGCTTGATTGAACGTTGGATCTCACAGGAGATCTAATCAGCCAAATTTGAAAAGTAAAATGATGAGAAGTCAAAGACTACTGCAAGGCTGATACAACGTGGTATATTTAAAACAATATTTCGGCCGGCCAGACCAGTCTTCTTCAAGTTTAGATGTTACTAAATTATGAAAACGAAATTACAATATTAAAAAAATAAAGGCTTAAGGTTATCACGATGAGGGATTGAAACGTAAAGAGCAAGTTGTCGATAGAACTGCTCGCTTTTCCACCTACTCTTATTTCTATAATTTTTTTGGTGCACGCAAAGAACAAAGGTGCATGTTTTGTTTCGCCGCCAAAACAAAACGTGTAACACCCTTCAGCTACGCAGTGTTGCCACTATTAAACGAGCTACGTCGCAGTTTGCCCGTCTTGAAAAGTTATACCTAAACTTTTCACGTTCGTCGTTTGTAATCCGTGTTAATCTTCTCTCTATCCTTAACTATCTTTGTTCCTTCATAGTTTACTATCGTCCCTTTGCTGTTTTTCTTTCTTAGTAAACTACTATTTTTAGGTTTCCTGCAATTAAAGTGTAATTCTATGCGTGGCCAAAATAACTAAGAAATATCGTGACTGAGCTCCTTCAAGGTGTAGGAGAGACCACATTGACGGAAGTAGGCCGAAGAGGGCTTGATCATGAAGTGCTTGACATAGTTCAGGCCCGAATTTTTTCAGGCTTTAATTTCACAACTGCTTAAGCTGTGTGTATAACTGCGATGATCAATCATATCTTCATATCTTTCTCCGCAGTTCAAATATATGGTCTTCCATATATTCACTTGTATTCTTCACAATCTATGGGTATATTACGAACTCACAATGTGACCAGTTCCCAGTTGGCTTGATAGCTCAGTTGGTAGAGCACTGCACCGGTATTGCAGAGGTCATGGGTTCGAGTCCCGTTCAGGCCTGAATTTTTTTTCAGGCTTTAATTTCACAACTGCTTAAGTTGTGTGTATAACTGCGATGATCAATCATATCTTCATGTCTTTCTCCGCAGTTCAAATATATGGTCTTTCATATATTTACTTGTATAGTTTAATACACTCAAATAACGCCAAGAACTAGACTTGTTGAAACAAGTCGTTAAACTGATAATCAAGCTAAGGAACTGTAATCCTCTCACCTCGTTCACATATAAAGGGGAGCTTTTCTGTGCACTTTCCCAGTGTTCTCCTTATTCCAACGATCTTTGCGCACCGCCCGTTTCCAGACTGGGGATTATGAGAATTGTCGCCAAGTAATCTGAAGTGAGCCCCTTTCAGTGAGCCAATCCAAACACTTGATGCGTTTACTTGCTTAGCAAGGTCTCTTATGAAATCCAAAGATTCAGAATCCCTGGAGACCTTTGCTAACCGCGCAGAGGATTTATTGCAGTAGTCATAAGCTCTGTACCAGCTCTCAAGCACCGTACGAGCAGAATTCATGAAGCACGAGTTCTTGTACAGGCTCCAACCATTTGCACAAGATGGTTCTCCGGGCTCTAAAGGGAAACAAATATGAACGACTTGTGAACACGATAATAATATAATGAGTGATTGAACGGTTTGGTGGTGATAAAAACAAGTTTTTTTTCCACAGCTTAGTGAGTGAAGAGCGAGAGAATCATTGCCGAACATGTAAGAGAGAAAATTTCTTCCTTCTATCAGTTCCCCTCAGTATTCCCCCCGCCGCCCCACGCCCACCTTTCCGTCCCACTCTACGCATCACGGATTCTATTTTGTTTGGGCTCTCGGCGATCATAAGACTCACACACGGGGTCTGTGAACCGATCGACAAACGTTGTGATAGTCAAATTTGTTCGTTCATTGACGAGGTACCTTGTTAGAACAGACGTGCATAAAGAATACATCCAGGCTTATTCGAATTAGCATTTATTTTTATTTAGGTTACTTTGACTTATGGCTTTCAAAAGGTGATTTGGATGGTCGCATTTAGAGGTCACAAAAAATTCGAAAATTCCCTTAATTTCAAAATTCTTAGTATAGTTTGATAGCCAACTCTATAACCGGACGCACTACATCGCTTGGACGCCAGACACCTCTAGAGGTATACGTTAAAATTGATAACACGTTTACCTATGACGTTGACCAGAATGTAATGCCTTATTCCCCAGAATCCCCATTCTGCTGCAGAACAAGAATAAAACGCCGTGTCATCCACGATTGCCTTGGTGATGGTAAATGAGGGCCCAGTGGAAACGTGCTTTTCAAGGCCCTTTTGGTTCCGTGCACCTTTGTACCAATAAACCAGATGTTTGGGACTATCCCTTGGTTGGCATGACAACGTCAAATTTTGACCTGTGTACAGAGTCAACTCTTGTGAAAGGTCCATCTTTGCTATTGTGAAAAAAGAAAAATTGAGAGAGAGTGAGAACATGTTGTTATAACAAACAATAAATTTAGTGGCTGCTGCCTTTTTTATTTTGTCTTGCAAAACATAAAGGCGGTATTCCACACCAATCTTGCTCTCTCTGCTGAGGAGATGAACAAGGAGA